TCTCAAACAGCTTTTAGTCTCTGACAGTGAAAAGCATAATTTAGAAAAACATCCGTGGCCACCTTTGAGAGTGGTCATGTTGGGATAGACGGCTTTGAGTGAGTGGAAGTTTCATTTAACTCGGAGTTTGTGAAAGAAAAGTGTGTGAACGCCAAATATTATACCAAAAGAAAAATGAAGAGGAAGTAGTTTGCATTGTTGTAAACACTGGGTTAACCCATCTTTACATTTTACAACTAAATGCCTTGAAGGAATGCATATCACCCACCACCTATTTGTCAGAATTTTAAACTATCACCTTTAGGGATGCACGATATTTGATTTTTGGCCGATATCCAATATGTTAAAACTTATTTGGCCGATAACCGATACCGATATTTTTTATATACTTTCCTTTGTCAGAACGTAGCCCTCTTATTTTGGCTTATTTGCTACAATAAAGTGTGTAACAGCTGTAAGAGCTGGTGACATATATTCACTAAGAGTCATATGTATGTATGTATGTTTTATTTATTCATTTCATTTCATCCAAACAACAAATATAATACAATTTAAAGAAAAGAAAAAAGATATACAATCACAGAAATAAAATGAAAGGCAGCAGAAGAAGAATGAGTTCTTATAATATCTGCCCCTTGTCCCCAAAATATATTCCAAACAAAATTACTATACAAAAGCAAGATGAATTAATAAAAAAATAAAAAATAATAAAATAAAAACTTAGCTAAAAACAAGATCAACTGTAAACAATTTTTATGAACTCACATTATACTTAATTTTTTTTTTTAAACAAATTTTTTATCCTCTTCTTGAATATGTACATAGTTTTGGCTTTTTTAATATCAACCTCCAGATCATTCCACAGTCTAATACCCTGAGATATAGTGGATCGCATCTTCAGACTGGTGCGACACCACGGCTTCACAAACATCTCCATCCCCTTAAGATAATAATTACTTTCTCTTTTAACAAATTTCCCTTGAATGTTAGTAGGTAGTATGTTTTTGTTGGCCCCATACATAAACAGTAAGATATTGTAATCAACCAAGTCATAAAATTTTAATATCTTTAGCTGATGAAACAATATATTTGACGGATGCTTATAATCTTTTCTGGTAATAATTCTTATGGCTCTTTTCTGTAAAATAAAAATTGGATTTGTAATTGTTTTACATGCTTTACCCCAGACTTCAATACAGTAAATTAAATGTGGAACAATAATGGCATTATACAATAGAAACATTGCTTTATCATTGAATAACTCTCTAACTTTGTACATTACTGCAATCGATTTAGCTATTTTAGTTCTTAAGTTTTTTACGTGAGATCTCCATGTTAGTTTTTCATCAATGATGACACCCAGAAATTTCACCTCATTGACTCTATTAATTTCAATTCCATCGACTCGAAATGGAGTATCAAGCACTTTCTTGTTATTACTAAAAATCATATAATTTGTTTTATCAACATTTAAAGATAATTTGTTTAGTTGAAACCAATTTTGTATTTTCACAAATTCTGTTTTCAAATGATATGCATAACACTTAAACTTATATTAAATGAAAAGTGTTAAATGTTATTTATTAGCATTAATCACCTGCGATGCTGTCTCACTTGTGGAGGCTTGTTCCAGGTTCCTATAGCTGCAGTGTGGCACTCCTGTGCATGAAGGACAGACTTTTTAAGTTAAAAGTTTTTGTCTATCCATTGTGCCGTAAGACTAATCATGCTAACAAGGCTAACACAACGTCCAAATGTCTGTGGTAAAACTCACCCAAGTGCTATCGGTTATTAGCTTCTCAATGACATCAGAAATTACGACTTATAACTCAGGTAACGTCAACGTCGGAAAAATATGTCTGACTGGGGACGATGTAGCACAAGGTTCAACGTAGTCCAAAAATCTTCAGAATCCAATATTCTTAACAACAACAAAAACTTGCACAATGCCGACATTTTGACTTCTTCCTCTCCACCGAGATCAGACCAGGTAGGCGCGCGTGACGTCATCACACTGTGCTGGCGCTGCAGGTATCCTCGTCACTGGGTTGTCATACAAAAACAGCGCCTTTTATATCGACGAGTTATTTTGATGGAATGGCCGATGTCTGATATTGAACTGTAACGCTAATATCGGCCGATACCGATACCATGCAGATAATATCGTGCAGCCCTTATTTTTTTATGGCCATTTTTGGTAAATCTTGAAAACAACAATGTGCACAATCTTGTGTGATTTTGCACTATCATGCATGCTCTGTTTACACTTGGAGTCTGAGTTGTCTCACCAATTTTGAGCTTAATATCTGTCAAATTCACTGACGTAAAGTCATCTTTGTCCAGGCTAAGGTCAACCGACAGCTACAGCGGCCATCTTGAATTGGGTTGACTCAAAAGGTTAATCAGTTGTAGATGAACATCTGATCATTTTGAATCTACATATATCCAGTGGTTCATGAGATATTTCACTAACAGTACAGAAAAACAACACACACACACAAAGGGCAAAACATTATTGTCTGTCTTTATCTTCGATGGAAGGCGATAAATATATCAACTGTATTCATGAACTGAGTCTGTATACAGCTTTCATTATATGCTCTGAGCCTTTTTGGTGCGTTTAAAGACACGGGGATGCTTTGTTCTGCTGACCCCTAATAAATATTCTCAGTGGGAGACCAAAATAGAAAGGATAAGCTCTGTGAAGATCTGGATTTTCTCCAGTCTCATCCAAACAAAAATACTTTCTCATTCCTGTCTCCACAGGGACGTGCAGAGCAGTCACTGGCATGCTTTTCTAATGTGGCTCTGATTGGGTATTTTTAGTAAGCAGAAATGAGTCTAGCCCGTAACACCGAGTTGCAGATTCATTAAAACCCAACAGGTGTGTGAGTCGTACCATGGAGAGCAGAATGAATTTGAACTTTGTTGTCAAAATTTTGCAAATGTGCGGTCATAATCAATACCTGGAACCCAAAAGGATCTCATCAGAGAAGATGTAAAGCGACGGATGAAAAATGAATTTAACAAGGGAAATAAACTATGCAAAACACAAAAATGTTTTGCATAGATCAATATTGAATCTCTTTTGGAAAATCTTGCATGAAATGTGCCTGTATTAATTTGACGTTTGACATTTTCTATGTATATTTTTAGGTGACAGCTCAGGAGATGTCTTAATCTTTGCTCGAGACCCTCAGACGCCAAGATTAATTTTCTCTCTGCTCCTTTTGGGATGATGTTATTATGGTTGGGGAGATGACAGTTGTATCAATTATGCATAGGGTGAGAGTTTATGGAAGGTATCTATGCAAATCAGGTTCACCCAGTGGGCTGACAGTGGGATAAATGAAAATACTCTGATCAAAATGGTAGAATCAGTTTGTAGAAATCTATCTATCTATCTATCTATCTATCTATCTATCTATCTATCTATC